ATTATTATTATTATTATTATTAATAAATATAGCATTAAGAACTCAAGAGTTCATTGCCGCAAATACTAAATCCCCACAATGTTCCTGTCCCTGAACGCGATCTCCTCTCTATTAGCAGTATTCGTAGCCTATTTCTTCAAGATCTGTAATATTGTCCTAACAGTTTGTTTATATATATCAGACTTTAATTAAAATATAATTTTTTACCATTGATAACTCTATAGAAACATAATGAATAAAGAAAAACAAAAACAGGTCTTTATCATTAACAACTTATCAATTTGCACATGAAATATTTATTTCATTCACTTTTCCTTTCATCATTAAATTATTAATGTTAAAAAAAGTATATATTTATATTTATGTATATGTAATGCGTGTTTCTATAAACAATTTTAAACTTTTTTTTTATTAAATATACTGAATAAAACAATCCGATTTGATTTTATGTTTAAGCGAATGTTCGTAGTACCGAAAAATATGCCATTGAAGTTTTTAAAACCTGCAAACGAATTTGTTACGTATAAGAAAACCTTTAATTTTTTTACAACATAATTTGTAAACAGCTTACATCTGTAAAGGTATTCAGTGATAAGGTACAAAATTTTCCTGACGTCAGTCGCATAAATTTTGTTGAACGCATCATACAAATGTGCATCAATTGTTTTTCCGTTCTTGTGATGTCGTACCAATTGCAATGATAAAAAGCATCACCCAGAATAGAGCTCTAAAAAATTGTTTAATGTTTTAATAGAACAAAAATTATTTCTAATGGAATTTTGATAAAAACTAAATACTTCTTTTATGAGACATTCCCCCATGTAACAGTAGGCCAAGAGTGTACTGAACACGCAGCTGACAATTAGAAAAATCGGAAGCAGCATTCTCCCTTCTCCTTTAGCTGTACTCTGAAAAAAAATAAAATACATAGTTATTTCTATGATTTTGCATAAATTATGATTTAATTTAATTTATTAATTTATTGTAAATATTTAAATTATTACTTAATATACCATTTTTTCCATATTTTAACAATAATATTTGTTCATGTTATTTAGCTATTAGGGAAGAATTTGTATTACGCCATGTAGCGCTTCAATAGCCGTAGCGATGACATAAATAAAATAAAATATAAAAAAACAAAACAAAAAAAAATTTAATATAAAAATAAATACAATTTATAAGACAACACATGTTATCATTAATATTATTAATTATATATCCGACAATTTTTTTTATATAAATATGTTAATACTTATGGAATAGTTAATAGAAAAAAATAGCATTCAGTTAAATCATTAGGGATAAAAGTAAAAAATTCTCTCTCTGATCATTTAGAGTTTAAAAATTTCAAATGTATTAATGATTAATTAATAAGTAATAAATTAAATATTTAAAAAATTTTCTAAGGTTAAGAAACTAGTTCGCATGCGCTAAAAAATTGAAGCATGCGTACTAATTTATTCCAACATTCAAGCGGGAGGGAATGTGAAACTTTTGCCCCTGAAAACAGGTTCAAGCTGGCGGGAATGTGGCACTTTCATCCCTGAAAACAGGATGCCAAAGCGAACTTTCGATTCATGGGTGAGAAAAAGGCATTTATACTTCTAAATGCTTCAGACAATATTCTTCATCGATTTTAATGAACAAGATTTTGTAGAAAATATTATTTTCCGAGCAGTTCAATGGATCTATCTAGTTATTAAAATAAGTATATTTTTACAACTAAATCTTGCCAAAGACTTTATTATTAAAATAAGACTTATTTCATAAAAATCGGTTTAAAAACGTTTGTGGACTGTTCCAAGGCGTAACTATTGTTTTTTACACTTTTCTGCCCGTATGGTGAACAGTCTTTAAAGTATACTTACATATATTACGCTTTATTTTAAACATCTAGGGGATATAACTGTCAATGTAGTAATCCGAGCATTGTATACATTGCCCAGGCAATCTATATATAGAATGCCCAGAAGGTGTAGGTAAATAAAGAATAGAAGTTCAGCTGTTATTCCTCATAAGATCACTTTACGCTCCCTCCTCTGTGATCTAAACATAACCAAGTGAAGCATATATTTCAGATTTATCTAAAGAACGCTTTAAGCATTCTAGAGATTGACAGTTTAATGTACGAAAAACATGCTTTAAATATTATATCTATTACCCAATCTTACAAGGGGAGGTCGTGACCAGTAACTTTAGAAAATGAACGAAATTATAGTCAATCGATAGAAAATCAAAAATAATTAGACACGTGTTTTGGCTTTTTCTCTAGTGGGGCCGTCTTCATTTTCTAGAGTTACAGATCACGACCTTCCCTAGTTAGTCGACATTCTATAATATACTTCGGGCAATCTATACAATATTCGGAATCAGTACATTGATCATAACATACATACATAAGCCATTTATTTTGAGAGCAGTCTTATTCCTTTTTCCAAAAATATCGAGTTAGCTACAGTAACAGTTACATTATCACATGATCTTTTCATTCTGAAGCTTCATTTCTGAAGTAATTTGTTACTAATATATTTAAATTCATGATTTTGTAACAAGAAGATATGCTTATTAATGGAATGATGAAAAAGTTTATTTTAAAAGTTGCCTAATTCTATTATTCAATTATTTTTTTCCGATTTCACAAATGCCCTCTCTGCTGATCTCATGTGCGAGCGCAGTAATTTCTGATAATAAAATGGACGCGTTTTTGGTTACATATCCATTAAATACATTGCACATGTATATGTACACTGATAGGAAACATCAAACTGGTGCTAACGCCGCTAAAATTCACATACCGCATAAAAAAAAATTGCCCGTAAAAAACAGCACAAAAATAGGATCACATAACAAAGGACCGCACAAAAAAAAGTTTTACTAAACTTTATTGTAAATAAAATGAGACAAGAAGATTTTGTATAAATAAAATTGTTACAAGACGCAATTTTGAAAAGAGTAAAGAATTCTGATAAAGAATCAATAAAATAAATAAAAATATGATTGATGCGTTTTGTCAAATGAACCGTATCAAATTTTCTATAAAACATCAATGAATGAAAATGAAAATTTAAAGGTACTAAATTTATTACCACGTCGAGGTAGACTAAGAAAGTCCGAAAATATTGTATTGACACTACTATATAAAAATATCAGGCAAATTACAACAGAAAAATTCAGGGACATAATTGACATATTACGATATATACCACCGGAACATCATAATTTCTTCAAATCTCTTTCACACACACAAAATGTAGATGAGTAGTAAATTGTTTAGTAGGTTATGTTTGTAATTATGTGCGTTATATAGTTCAAAAATTTGTTGAATTGCAAAAATTATGTTTCTGAAGTGTTTTAAAGATATAAAAAATGTCTTGTCTTCCACCATGGTAATGTAAAGCCGTACACATCTTTGGTTACTCGTTAAAAATTATTGGATACGGGTTGGGATGTGTTGTCACATTCACCACATAGCCCTGACCTTGCGCCTTCAGACTACCATATCAACGCTAACATACTACCTACCGCTAACGCTACCAACATAACGCTAACAATATCAAATTACACCTAATTCAGTTTTTTGATAAAAAAGATAAAAAATTTTATGAACGTGGCATTGTGACACTGCCTGACCGATGGTAAGAGGTCATCAACAAAAATGGACAGTACCTAATTGAATAAACTTATATTTTTAAGCAAAAATTTTGAATTATAATTCTTATTTAAGATCTGCAATCACTTAGTTGCCAACCTAATATATACTTTCGTTTTCTTTATTATCAATATTACTCTTTAATTATCTAGAAACTTACTGCAAGAGTGTCATATCCCAAAAGACAGAGTTGAAAAGTATTTCCTACTAATTGTTGCAAAATCACTAAATTAAATTCGTCTTCTAGAGATTCTGATAATCTGAAACAAACACACAGGATCGCGTGAGTAGTAAATATTAAATGGAAAATTACATAAGAGAGAAAAAAGGTTTTTTATTTTTCACCTAATTAATCGAACATGTCTAACAATTAGATTTTTCATGCGACGTTGTCGATCTTTCGGATCATCCAATACATGTYTAACCTTGCAAGAGAGAGCAGAAAACAATCCACTTACATGAAGTACTAAACTAATAAAAAGACAGTCGGTACCAACGTAAACAAAGACGATGCTGGGTATAATTAAAAATTGATAACAACAAAGACAGACGTATGTTATCACATCGGTAGGCTTGATTAGAAGCCAAACTCTATACGGTAATCTGTATCCATAAGATGAGTTTGAGATAACTGGAACATCAATAAATAAATATTTTTAGTATAATTATTATTGAACCGAGCAAGTGAAGAAATTAATTAAAATTGGTATTTACAACAATAAAATGTTAAGTTTATTTAATAAAATTTTTCTTTTTCTTTTATAATTAAAAAAAAATATTTTTAAAATGATAAAAAAAAAATTTTGATTTTAAATTATATTATTTTAATTTTGGTTAAATCATAATAAAAAATACAAAATATAATTAAATAATGATATAGTAGAAAAGCTTTCATATGTTGAAAATTTATATTAACATATAACTGCAAATTGTTTTATTATATTTATAGTAATTTTTTTTATATAAATAAAAGTTAAACGTTAATTTTTTAAAATTTATGACATTTTAAGGACAGTATTGCAAATTGATCTGTGATTACTTTGATATAATTATTAATATCTCCTACTTTAATTATTTTTATTCAATTATTTATCTGTAAAATATAAATCCAGTATCATTTTAAATCGTATAAAAAACAACCACACGGTATCTCGTGACACGGTTTTGCTAAGGCACGAATCAAAAATTGCGGAAAATCTTCCTATACCACGCATATTTTAACACAGTTTCGCCATTCATAATTGCAGGAACCCTTCTACAACACGGCATCCTATAAAACGGTTTTTTTCAAAAAACCTTTTTACAACACTGTACTTCTACAGCCCCGGCGAGGCTTACCGTCCTAAGAATGCAGTGTTGCGGAAAGTATTTCTTTTCATCTCCATGGCCTAAAAACAAAAGTGTTTCGCGCTGTTATGCACTGAAAAAATCAACGTTAAATGCGTGTTGGAAGAAGAAATGGCCCTCCTCAGTTGAAATAGAAAATATGCATGAATCGTCGCAAAATAAAATTGGTAGCATATTAGAACTTGCTAAATCAATAGGAGGTGAAAGTTTTGTGGAAATAGCTATTGTGGACGTTCAAGGTTTATTAGTGGAAGAAGAAGTTTACGAAGCGGATTTGATGGAAATGACATCCGAAACTGTAAATCAAATCGATCCTGAGGACACTAGCACTGATGAAGATTGTGCAGTTAATAAGTCAACATAAGAAAAATGAAAAGAAATTCTAAGCTTAGCTAATGTATGTAGGTATAGAAACATGGAATAGTGAATATAAAAAGAAAAAGCGGGTAAAGAATGTTGCCGAAGATGAAAACCTCTTCGATGGAAAGAAAAAAATCGACATGCATTCGTCAGCCGTCTGAGCAATCAGTTTAGCCAAAAATCTATACGAACTTACTTCCACGGTTGACTTTTATATTGTATTACCTATTTATTACTTTATTATTAAGTTGTTATGTCTTTTAAATTGTCAATCAATCTATAATATGATGTCCCGCCACGATTCTCTTACCTAAATTTTTCGCAATAATACAAATCGTGTTACGGGAAACATTACTCCAGTTGTTCGCATAAATGACAATAGAAATCGTCTTTTAGTATTAAATATAAAAGTAAATAGAAACAATTACAAAAGTATTACTTGGAAAAAAATAATCATTTACGCGCAATACTTGATTTTTATCCCACATATTACAGCGAACTATTAGCAGGAATATCACTCGCAAGACATATAAGATAACTATAAATTATTCCTCATACAGATATTATTTTTCAAACACCAAATGAACTTCATCCTTTACCTTTGCCTTTTGGTATAAGGACCAGAAAGATAAAAGAACACAGGAAATAGAAAATAAATGAATAAAACTAATATATTTTAATAGCATCATAAGCTTCACAGAGCATAGGCAAAGGAACGTATCAAACTGAAATAAAATCCTTACTAAAGATTCCTATCATGCATATAGCAGTGGAAACTTCCGCCTATTTCCAGCCATATGTGGAACTTAGCGATAAGACAGAAACTATAATACAGATAGAACTCTAAAAAACAGGATTCTTTCTAAAATCTCAGTGAGTAACCTTAAGGCCGATGCCGCTGAACAAATAAAAGAAAAATAAACAATAGTGTCCGGATCACCTATCTCATCCCTAGCCCTTACAACTGAATGCCGCCAAGGTCGGCCAAAAAGCAGAAAGTCACATTTGCCCAATGAAAATTGACAATTTTTTAGAAATTAGAATCTTAAGAAACGAATGAATCTCACAGAAAATATATGTACGAACAAATGTTGAATAATTAAATGTAACGAGTAAGGGAATTCTAGGTATAATCGAAAATGTAGTAGCGTATTGAACTGATAGTTATATTCGACATATTAATTATGTTTCTTTATTTGACTAATTAACATAAATCCAAAAAGCAATCTTTTCGATATAAATAGAATCTTATTATTTGTTATCATTTAATATCATAAGCGAGTTTCTTGATAACATACTGAATTTACATAGAGAAATTCACTTATTAGAAATACACCAGTTCAAGGAATATTTAAAAGTGTGCGTCAATCTATGATTCAAAATTGCATTAAATGGAAGAAAAACAGATCAGATATCTATAATATGATTTTTAAATATTATGTTTGCTTATTTTCATAATTAGCTTATTTTGAAATTCTTGAATGAATGTATTTAAAAATAAATTGTGTACGTTGAATATGTTGTTAAATGACTTGCTTACAATATTAAACTCTAACAGATACTGAGTTTATTTACAAAAAATTGTAATAAATAAACAATTTTACTTTTTTTGGTGAGCATTATACACTTTTAAAGTATGGCCCTGTATCTAAGCTTTAATCAATTAGTACGATTTCCTTGTTAATTAAAAACTGAACGATTTTTACTTTCATTTATTTTAGCACTGTTTATAAAAATATATTCCTGTTAATATCTTTTTAATGAATTACCACGTTTAGAAAATAATTGTTTTATATCAATAAAGAAGGGAATCATATTATATGATAATAAATCAGTAAAAATATTTATTTGTTAATCATTAGGATATTTTTAATTATCACAAAAAAAATAGACTAGATCTTTTTCAAAACAAACATAATATGTTGCTTGATTAAAATTACACGTGAATAAAATTAAAATGTAAAAGAAGTATAATTATTAATGTATTCAGTAACATAGATATAAGACTCATTACCCATTTCTACATTCATCACCAAAGACATGAAGTAGTACGACGAAGCTGCCATAAAACATACGATCAAGGTCAATCTTACAAATTTTTGACTAAATTTGTTGTAATTTAAAAAAGCCATTTGCTCGTCTCTGCTCTTGTAATTATCAATGATGAAATCAGTTCTGATGTCTTGTAAAAGTTTCGTTAATGATTTTCTCTTAATCCTACAAATACATATCTTCAAAAGAGCCATCAGGTTGAATGCATTTTCCAATGAACACGCAACGATATATGTTAGATTTGATATATTCATCGCAATATCAATGATCGCTAATAAACAATGAATAGTCAGATAAGCTGTGAAGAATATAAACTTTGATTCGTGAACTTCCTCCGGCCAAATTCCAGCACATCTCATTGCACGTTTCGTCAAATCTATCACTCTCACAGTTTCACTGAAGTCAAGATCCTAAAAAATGAAATCCCTCACGGATTTTAAAAATCTTTTATTCCAAATTATATCAATTTTTAATGTGAAAAGTAATAAATAACATATTTGATCGATTTATTTTTAAATACAATAAATTACTTTTTTTCTTGATTATTATTAGTACTTTTAATAGTATTGTAAAAATGATTCTAAATCACTTGATTATACTGAAACAATTTTCGAAATTTTCGTACTTGCATGGTTTCGTCGATAACAGCTTGAGCTTTTCTCGAAAGCTCGTAACAAACTAAAGAAAAAGATCGTTTCCAACTCTTCAGGTAAACTCGGTTTTTTTTTTGACGTAGAAAAAAGAAAAGGAAAAGGAATATAAAAACTTTTTCCGTTCTTTCTTTGATCGAATAACTTTCTTTCTAAATAGCTGATATGAATGTCCGAAATGAAAGAACTTATATAAAATTGTATTATTTTTATTTATGAACAAAAAATTATGCTTCTTTCTAATGAGTAAAAAAATAAATAATTCGTAAAAATTCTTCAGATAGATAGTTGCAAGCTTTTTCAACCTTTTCCTAAAATATAATCATATTATCATGAAAGAACTTTTCGATATCCCTATGAAAATTAAAGAAACTTCCAAACCTAATAATATTTAATAAGCTTTCTATATCCCAAAGACCAAATGTTTTTATTCGTTTAAGTAATTGATAAGTATCCTAAAAACTTATGATTTCTCGAACGAGAAACTCGCTATGCTATTTTTTTCTATTAGCTCTACACTATAATTATTATCTTTTTAGGAAGGTGCATAGGAAAGCTATGCATTCATTATTTTAAATATTTCATATGTTTTTTGGATTCCACATTGGCTTCGTATATCGATTATATAATTGCGAAAACATTCATTATTATTGTTATTATTATATGACGTTAGGAACTCGAAAGTTCATTGCAGCAAATACCAAATCCCGCCAGTGTTCCGTCCATGAACGCGATCTCTCCATTCGCGGCCTTTGTAGCCTATTTCCTTAAGATTTCTCCTAATATTATCCTTTCATCTACGTTTCGGACTATTCAGTGGTTTTTTCTCGTTCGGTATATCGATCAGTATTTTATACGCCGTTCGCTCCTCCTCCATGCGGGCAACGTGAACTGCCCATCTAAATCGGCGTAATTTTACGACGTTAATGATATTCAGTCTGTTGTACAGTCAGTGTACTTTTACGTTATGAAGTTTTCTTTATTCTTTTTCTTCCTCATCGCGTTATGCACCGAAGAGTTTACGAAGAACTTTGCTTTCGAAAACCCTAAATTTCTTTTCGTCCCGTAACGTAAGCAACCACAATTCGCTACCATAAAGGACTACCGGCAGTATGATTGTCCTGTATATCATGATTTTTAAGCAACTAGACAGCAACCGTGAGCTGAGTAATTTTTTGACCGAATAAATGCATGCATTGCCTAATTTGATTTTTTTCTTAAGTTCTTCGTTTATTTCGTTCGTTAAGCTTATGATTGATCCTAAATACCTGAAGTTGTTGAGCCATTCGAAAATTTTATTCCGGATGACCAAAGTTCCAATATAACGCACATTCTAAATTCTATCGGTGACCATATATTTGGTTTTTTTTTACGCCTAATTGTACCTCAGATATTTTGTATTATCTATTAGAATTTTCGCGTTATTAATTAATGACTTTTTTATTGTCTTCTAACAAAGCAATATCGTCCACTTATGTCAACAGTTGCGTTGTCTCCTGTTCATCTGCTGACCACCTTTACTTTTCTGCAGTTACTTGACAGCAAATTTCAGTACTAAATTGAACAAAGGAGGTGACAGTGCGTCCCCTTGTTTAAACCTGTTATGCATACTAAAAGTTTTTGACATTTTGTTACTTATCCTCACTTTACCCCTAGTTTCCTGTAGACAAAGTTGAACTAGGTCGACCAGTTTTCTTGATATTACCTAGTACAATTTTCTTGGTACAACCCTGTCGTATTAAGATTTCTAGCTTTTTTTCTCGTTTTACCGAATCGTACGCTTTTTCAAAATTTATATAAAGTTTGTGTACCGGCTAATTAAATTCTCATTTTTTCTCCAAGATCTGCCGAATAGTAAAGATCTGGCCTGTAATCGATATATATTTCCTAAAACCGCATTGGTGATTTCGTATTATCTCGTCTTCATACGGTACTGTCCTCGCTAGTAAGATATTCGATAAGGTCTTATAGCACGTTGGTAAAAGTGTGATACGCGTATTGTTTCTCCATTTTTGAAATGAAAACTTCTTAAGAGTGGGGGTGATTTGAAAAAAAAAATATCATATGTGCAGATCACACGTGTTAGAAGTGTAACCTTCATAAAACAAAATTTCGAGAGAATGAGATGAATACACAGAATAAAACGTAAGATAATTGTAGAATTTATTTATTATAATATTCTTAGCATATCTATAAAAGGGTTTCTTTATGATCTTGTGATAGGGGTAGTTGATAAAAGTTATCACTTTCCAAATTCTATCAGTTAAGATAGAATGTCGAATGCGATAGCTATAGATAGAAACAAATATACAGGGTGATATTTGTAACGGGGACGGGTAATAACTTTTTTTTAAGTAACAATAGAGAAAAATCATAAAGGAACAAGTTATATGGCACATCACATGTCACCTTTCTATGAACCTACTTTTTTTTAAATGCATTGATGCACCCGCTAGATGCACTTTCACTTATTTTTTAAATGAAACTCTAGATTTTTTTATATATTTAATTTGTTTTTTTATTTTTCCTTAAAAATTAGGAAGTGCAGGTGTATAATATTGAGTTGAGAAAAGAGCAAGACGCTGGAAATTGTGTGTATGTGAGGGTGAATTAATAAATTATAGGTTATTTCTCTGACGAATGGTATTACACTACTCTTTTTGTTTTCACAAATTTATTAACTCAAAACAAAAAGAGCTATCAAGAAGTAAATTGTAATAATTGTACAATTATTAATTATTGAAAAGGATGTTTTGATAGTTAAAGCAATAGTAATGCATGTGTACTTTATAATAATAGTAATTGGAAAGAAGTAAGATAATGACGTTAGGCAACACGTCTATCAGTTAGGCACTACAAGAGGCGACTGCCGGCGCGATGCACATAGCGTGATGAGCTCGCTAGCCCAAAACTCACGCATTAACACACACATGACCCGCACCAATTAGCCCGCAACAATACCGCGGCCTATGCAACACAGACACACCTGACTCACAAACGCGTTGTTGTGACAATACCACTACAGACACACTCGCACTTACTACATAGCCCAAAAGGGGGGTTTCTTAGTAATATATGTCAATCCTGAACAGAAGGTCATTGAAATATTAAAAGTTTACGAAATATTTAAAGTTTTATATCAGTTATGTATTTTATTTCATTTATTTGAATTGATATTGGAACAATACATTGTTATACGCTCCTTTAAGACATCGACTAATATGAAAGGACGTGAATACAAATCCATATCGTTATTCAATAGGACACACTTTTTATGTGGCAGATGATATTAGTAGAATGCGTTTTTGTTAATTTTTTTCAGACAAGTGTAACGAAGGGAAAATTTTGCCGAAAGAATTTTATGGAGTGCACTTTTACGAATAATGGAATATACAATAGACGCAATGAACATACATGGTCTAAAGGAGCGAATAACATTGTATTGTTCCAATATCAAATAAAAAATGTAAAAAAGCACATTAAAAAATTTTTAGAATGCAATGGAGAAACATTCGAACACTTATTGTAATAAAATACATTGCAGATAAAAAACATCAAATATCTCGTAAACTATTGACATTTCAATGACCTTCACCTTGTACTTTTTAACGCAGAATAAAAAAAGGACTCAAATAGTATAAAAAAATTTAAAGTTTTTTTTTTTTTTAAAGTGCAACTATATCTGGCGGGTGGATCGATGCTTTTTCAAAAAAAGTAGGGTCATAGAAAGTTGGCATTTGTTGTGCTATATAACTTTTTTCTTTATGATTTTTTTCTATTGTTACTTAAAATCAAGTTATTACCCGTCCCCGTTACAAGAGTCACCCTGTATATATACAGTGACTGTACGATCCGAAAGGATTCAAGATTAAAGGTCTAGATCGATACTTATTGTGAGCATCGATCAACTACTAGTAACTACCGAAGCGCCCCTCTAGTCACCCCCACCTCTCGCCTCCTCACTTCTCACCCCCAGACCGTACGCCCTGCTGGGACAGTACAAAAGGACATTCTTACAGTCCATTATAGGAAGCCTGTGAATACATATCGAAATCAAAGGAGTTAAGCTAAATTAGTTAAGGAACGTAAGCGAAGCGAGCGAGAGGTGAGATCTTTCCATTATTATAATTTCTATCAACGGTATTTTCCCACGTGGTAATACCACGTGGTGGACTCTCATTTTTATAATTAAACATCATCCAGGGTTTTTATGCCGCAAGGCTTTTCCCTGACGAGCCAATAAAAAAAGGCATTGTTTCTTTGTTTGGCTCAATCACGTGTTTTATTTTACACCTTAACCTAATCCTTTATTCTCCACTTCATAGCATACAATTAATGATCGGAGGAATTTTCATTGAAGAATCGTTTTTTCATAACAGTAACTCAAACAATTGATCAAATGTTCCCACAGTGTTTAAATTTTTACATAGGTTTTGTAATTCACATAGAACAGAAATAATTTAAATATGTTACACATTATACATGACTTTGGTTGTTTATATAGTATAGAAATCATTTAAATACGTTGCATAATTTGAGTAAAATTAAAGAAACTTAACAAATCTGGGATTTAATCAATTTTTTGTGTCTAGGAAAAACGAAATTTTAGTAATTTATATACCCTCTTTTAGCCTTCAATGCGTCTTTTATGCGTCTTAGCATGATATCTACTAAATTTTTGCACTGGTAAAGCTTAATTTTTTTCCAAGCGACTTTTACTTTTGACCACAATTCAACAATACATCTCGAGTTATGATCGAAATTGACAACTGCTCTTTTCAGTAAACCCCATAGAATCTCTATGGGGTTCAGATCGGGAGACTATGGGGGAAGTCTAAAAAAGTAAATCATTAGCTCTGAACCACTCTTTGGTGATTTTTTTCTGGTGTTTAGAGCTGTTTTCTTGCTAAAAAAAAAATGACTTCTTCTGCGTTCTTATTGCATTTTGCGAAGCTTTCAATTAAACTTTTCTGCAGAATGGATATATATATTATTAGGGTGTCCGTTAATTTTCAAGTTGATTTTTTTTTGCTGCCGCCACTTGAAGTTTCAGTTATTGCCCTAAAAAAAATTATCTTACGTAAACAAGCTTTTAATTTTCAAGTTAAACCGTACCGAAATCATGTTACTTTTCTCATTTAAATAACATGGGATTTTTTTACTTTTTGCATTTAAATTTTTATTTCCAAAGCAAATGAACCTCTAACACTGATAAAGAAGTATTCTAATACAAAATTTTGCGCTCTACAAAAAAGGTCCTTTTAGTTTTTTCGATAAAACATTCCTTTAAGAGTTATACTCGGTTAGCTATGCACATAGTTTCTATTCAAATTTTTCTATCATTTGTTGCAAATTTTAATTGCGCCTTTTGATTTTGACTAAAAAAGCATCTTGAGCCATATATTTTTCGATAAAACGATATTCCTTTACCAACTTTAATATGGAACACTAATATTGCGCCATCTATTATCAATAGATCAAAGTTATAGTTTAAGGTTATTGTTTCATTGCTTTCAGCGTTCGTAAACATGTGTTTCAATGAAAAAGAATAAGCAAATTTCAAGTAGTTTCTCTATTAATTATAACTTGTATTGAATTAAACTATTTAGTGATTTTATTTTAATACATTTGTACGTATTAAAAAGTTTTGGATTCAATTATAAAATTTATTAAATCGACAAATTATACGACTCTAACCTTTATCAGTTACGTTCAGCCTACAGAATTATAATTTAAATAAATAAATCCTTATATAACTTAAAAATTATTAACCTAATGAATTTATTAATTTAATTAATTTAGTAAAAATAATTCAATCAGTTACTCTATGTGATAAGATGTTTCTTTTGGGTGAAACAAGTGACACGATTAGCGGTCACAAATTACCAACCAATAATTAAGTTCTGTAATTATTATATTTTCATACCAGATAACAAAGAAAAACACTTGCCGCCAGTTACTTAGTAGTTGTATAAGAAGTGTGCAAATTTTGGAGTAGAGCTGGGATTCAAGTACAAAATAAAGACCGATGTATAAAAATAAACCATGTGCGCAAATCACACGTGTTCGAAGTGAAACCTTCAAAAATCTAAGTTTCGAGAGAATTAGACGTATGCACAGTTTCACGAGTACGATAATTAGAGGATTTATTTGTTATAATATCATTAGCATATATAATAAAGGTCACCGGTATGGTCTCTGTGTTGAGTATCTGATAAAAAGTACACTTCTCCAAATTCAAGCAATAAAAATGGAATGCTGAATGCGATAATTATAAATAATCACC